CCGATCACAGCACACCTTGTGTCGATCTACAGTCTATGTTTTTCTTAAGATGCGAGCGACTTCCAGAATAGGATCGTGCTAATGTTGAACGAAAAGTCTTTTTGTTCAACATTGACACGATACTATCGCGGAAGTCGCTTACATCTTTAGAAAAACATAGATCGTAGATCAGGATCAAGTATTCTGTGACCGGCAATCTTTCCTGGCGAGAGGTTTATATGTGTCTTGAAAAATAAGAGTTTATATAAAACTGGAGCCGGAAAATGTAAAATAATGCAAACACAAGAAGCAAAGTGTAAACTAGTAACGTTAAGACGTGAAGCGTTAACTGTCAAAACAGTATAATTAAAACTTATAGTGAATTATAGCACGAAGTGTATTGCGTCATTTGGAAGGTCAGTTTGGAATTTAGCTCCAATATGGAGACCAGAGCCAACGACGATCAATCAAAAACGAGATACCATGTTGTCGTCACTGTTCTAAATTAAGTCACTGTAGTTACAGTGAGTATTGGAGCTAAAATCCAAACTGGCCAATAGGAAACCTCCCAAATGATCATTTCGGCGTCGTGCCCTTAAACTCGTTGCGCGTGCTTTAAAGTGATTGTATACACTTGTCTCTTAATATACTATTTTAGCTCCAATATGGCGGATTATGATAAGTTGTCGCCACTGATGTCTAGTGAGTTAGATTGTTATGCAACTAAACACACTTAATCATTATAACAATCGCGCTTTTATTAGCATATGTGATGCCATGTACGAGTCTGTTACGCTAATAAGATTAAGTATAACAGTTTTCCAATCCGGTTTTGTTATGAGCCAACAACACAATTGGCAACGCTACCTTCTATAAGACCAATACTCACTTTAGGCATGAGTTGCACTAGTATGAATGTCCTAGGGCAACTTAATTTAGCCGTGGCGGTGTATTGATTGGTGTAGCATACAGGGTGTAGAACGATTGGATGATAATTCCTTTACCATAAAAAATTTATATAAAAAATCTTGGAGCAAAATTGTGCGCAATTACCAAGACAATTACCGTCGTCATGTTACTAAAATAGTTCTGATCACCAGTGGCGTGCTGTATTCCAGTGGCGTAATTAGCTTAAGTTTTTTTAATGGAATACTACGTATATTAATTCCGATTTGGAAAGTACGTACTCGAAAAGTACTTATTTTTTTATAACATATTGTACCATTAACGTGGCGGCTCGTGAGATATGACAAAGGGTGGGCACAAGTAAAATATTGCCTAATATTTTTAGCGTAACACAACGCTTATGTGTTCGATTTTCCGTCGTCTGTCTGTTCCATTGAAATCTCCGCCACGAGTCACCTAGAGACTTGGGGTGTTCGCTAATTGATAGCTGCTATGGTCAATATTTGCAGCTGTTAGGTACTCATCATTTACAGTTGTATTACACGGCAACATCCACGAGTGCGTTTTGAAACATGTTTTGTACCTGAAAGGCGTTTTTCTATTTTTTAAGGCGGAAAAGACGTTAATGACTTAGTGAAAATTCTGTACTTTGTACTGTATCAGAAATGGTAGGAAATGATAAATGTGAAAGTTCAATTAGAACAAATAATACAGCATTAAGTTGTTCCACGACTCGCCACTAGGGAGCATTATCTACATTTATACCCTCTTCTCTTGTCGGTAAGACAAGTAAGAGGGTCAGAATTTGAAATTTTTTTAGATGGGTCGGAACCATTGAGTTAGAAAACTAATGGAGGGAAGCAAATGCTTGGCCAGACGTAGACCACGGGAACCAAAAGTGGCCTCTGGCTGTGATTAAAGTACTACACCACTTCCGTTATCATTAGCGTCTCACTTCAGTGGCGTAGAGATATAATTTTCTTTCCACTAATAGGAATAATAACAAAAAAAACGTATAGAAGGAGTAAAATACATGCTCATGGTAAAGTAAACAAAATAGACAAGGATGGGAAAGTATTAAGATTTAATATATTCATTGATTACAAATCTAAATATACATCGATGTGTTCCAGTAGTATAATTAAGGCCAGTTTACTATAGCCACTACAACTTGACAACAACCATTAAATTCACTGTGTTGATCAATAGCTACATTTGACTGGTTGGTCTCAGGTTCATTACAACGGCAGACAGATTTAATAATAATTTATTCTTTATTGGTCTCAAAATGTATCCGCACTCGTAAAAAAACTCACACATGATATCCATATTATAAACTCACACGTTTAGCTGTAAACACAAATTTTGATAGTACTGCATATGTGATGAACATTTTCCGGTGCAACCTTTGGTCGAAATCACAGTCAATGAAGCGTTGTGAGCACAAAAGCAAATTTCGAGAACTGTTCTTGAGATATATATAATAAATGACATGTCTTACCGATGAAAGGAAATGCCCTGTTTCTTCCCTTTATGAGAAATTTTGCATGATACGCAGCTAATCATTCTCAATTCACAAAATTGTGTGTGATAAAGCACTATGCCACAGTTAATTATTTATATAAACCAGAGCACAAACCGATCCGAAATTATTACTTTGAAATGGCAAATTTAATAAAATTTGAATTTGGTGGGAAACTGACAGTGACAGTATCCCACAGAGTTGTATATATGTAAGTAGAGAGGCAGTACATACGACCTGCGCGTGGAAAAATAACTCCAACTACAGTGGCTGACTTTTAATGGCGGAGCCGTTGGGACTCATGCGCAGTGCGTGAAAGGGAATCGGCACGATTTTTGGGTGCATTCAGTTACATAATCACAGACCATTACATAATCACAAAACAAAACAGCAATAACTTTTCAGATGCTTCAGCTTCATTTGTAAATAAACAGACGCTTTGGAGCAATAATTTAAGCATGCCCATTACATTATACTCTTTACCGCCATTTCAATGTTTAGTAGGCGACGATCTGTACATAAATAAAGACAATTTATCTACGACTATTAAATAACGCTCAAATAACGTCACTATATTTTAGCGAATTATGATATGCATTATTATCGGTTCCTCTAAAATCCTTATATACAACTACTTTATGTCACTATATATTTCTCATAATTGCATATGTATAAGTAAGGTATAAGTTCATAATTGCATATGTACTAAAAATAGAACCGCCCATCTCGTATGTACTACCTGTCAGTTTTGTTTTGAATTAAGCATTTCTTAGGTTAGAAATGAGAGATTTCGGGTTACGTACGTTTAACTTTGTAGGTTTATTTGAAAAACAATTAATACAGGAACTTGATCCACCCCTATGACGAGATATGTGCGATATTTATAAAATGGGATGAAACAAACTTGTAAAATACCTGAAGTCATTGGCAAGTTCAGGCAACGTTACTTAACGACAGATACCTTCGCTGATACAAATATTCTGCATGAGCATGAATAAGGTTTTCGTTTGTATTTAAAGTATCTATACCTTCATATTCACAAGGCATTATTTGTAGCATAATGGATTATCGGAAGCCCCATTTGAAGATTATGCTAGGTATAACCTATAAGTTTCAGCCTTTTACGAAGAGAAATATGTTTCGTACAACATATGTGGTATTGTTGTCGAAATTGTGCCACGATACAAAACAATAACATATTGTAAACTCGTTGACAATAAAGGATACAAATTGTCGTAGCACTTAACCACCGTTTTGCATGATTTATTTTAAGAATTGATAATTCGTAACAGGTCTTACATACTAGGCATTGACCAAATTACTACAATATGTACGTTAACTAATAAAAAACACCTGTTGCCCTTAAATTTGCAATAAAACTATGCTTTCATTGCTTAAACTTCGTTTCTAAAAGAGGAAGAAACTTCTTGGATGCAGGTCGGAGAAGCGTAACGAAGTCTGAAAAATTAGATTATGTATGCGAAACAAAATATTGTATTCCATTTGGCAGCTGTGTAACAATTTCTGCAGGCATAATTGATACATCGGGATCGGATTTAGAGAATAGTTGTACATGTACATCACATAAATAATATCCACCTTACTTCCATAGGTTATGTCACAATCTAAAACAATGAAAAATGAATGACAACCATTTACCTATATTAGCAATAATCTTACGTGTAGGTAATTACGTGTTGAATTAATGACTTCTGGGAACTTAGATAAATTGCATATTTAGTTCGCCACTTAGGTACATTGCGATACATTGAATTAGATTTGAGGTTAAATACCGTCAACGAATGAACGAACGCAAACCAAACCATAGGCGTACATTGCGCTACCGCTATGAAGTTGCTACGTTTCAAACTGATTCAGATGCCGCATTTTCTATTTAATTAAATAGTCGTAGATAAAATAGCGTATTTTACTTGCATATAAAGGCGATTATGACACTCGGAAAAATTACAACACTCGCCTTCGGCTCGTGTTGCAAACTTCACCTCGTGTCATAATCGCACACTTTATATGCTCGTATAATAATATACTATTATTCCCCTTTCCCGATCACTAGTAGTTTTCTATTGATTATTTGTCTTTCGCTCTAACATGACACGTGTATGAAACTAGTAATGCATTTTCCATCTTTTGAAATCTCAGGGGAATATCAACACGTCACGGTGCATTAGTGTGTGCGATTACAAAGGGGAATTCGGAAAATATCATTCGTATTTGGAATGGCTTGTCAAAACTATTGGATTAAATTTCCATTAAGTGGAGCATGTTTCATTAAAATTATTTAATTTGTTGCGTGCGATCTCAATTAAAATGCAAATTTACTCCGTGTAAAATGTCACGTTAGAAACCGGCACTGCATATGACGTATTGATGGTCTGTGAATTTCCAGATATTCATTAAGCCAGAGTGAGAAGGTAATACCTTCCGGGCGAAGATTATAGAGTAAACTTGGGCAGTGAAATACGCCAAGTTTATTGTTTACGGTTTCCACAGACCACAATACGAGTAGTTCTTACAATAGGTACAATAAATTGAATCGAATGAGCACTTTACCAAAATTAGCGCTCCATTCAGCAGATCAATACACATTAAGTTTTGATGCAGTTGAATATGTGCAGGTCTATTCTCATATACAGGGTGAGTTTTTTTTTCATTTTAAGCATTGGGATCTCGGAAACCGTAAAGGTGACGTGTGAAGTGTCACGCCAGGAGTGTAAAAGTGCCGCCGTGTGAATAGATCGGCGCGAAGAGTTTCGCGCGGTGTTGCCTATTGCGTCAATAAGCGGTTTAACTTTGCACACTTCAAAGTAAAACACGCCGCGCGCGAGCTGGAGTGGCGTGCATATGCAATCACTTGGCGGGAGGTCTTCAACTCAACATACGTGCTCGTCACTCCACACGTCACACTCCAAGCGTGCCACCTCACACGCCGTGTAAAGGCTAGCTTAAGACATACAGATTCAGTCAAATGAGGAAAGAGTTGTCCTCCTACATTTTACAATTTTTGAGTTATAATACAAACATTAATATTTTTAAATGGTAGTTATAGTTGGCTTTGACATTTTCAAAAGGGACAAATTTTTCTCTTTATAACGATATAATCGAGGGGCGTGACACGAGTAATTTTTGGTGTACAAATGAGATGTATGTAATTTTAAATTACTTGAAATTCTATAAAATTACTTAAATTACTTATTAGAGTACATTAATTACAAAAATTACTTATTCTCCAAAATTACTATGAAATTACATAAAGAATTACAAGCATTACATTGTAAGTAGAAAAATTATTGTCGTCCCCACTCTAAAGTATTAAAATTCCGCTAATTTAGCAGTTTATTGATTAATACGATTATTCTGCTTTATTAACGAGCTCCTAGCGAGTTTATCATTTTGCGGTGTCTGTCCGTCCGTCCGTCCGTCAGCACGATAACTGATAAACGAATGGACCGATAACGATGAAATTTTGCAGATGGATTCTTTATCAAATTTGTAGATCGGAGTTCGTGAATTGACAATGTAGACCGAAAAATAAAGTAGGCCCTTTTGACATCTCCGTTATATTTATGAACCGAATTGCATGAAATTCAATATGCGCATAGCTTTAGCCATATAAAACACAATTCCAAAAGTTGAGCCTAATTGATCAGCATTCACAGTGCCCTTTGCGCATCTCGACCATTTACAGACCGAATTGCAAACTTTCTTATTTATGAAGGTATATTTAAATGAAATTTGATACATAATCACTTGGAATAAAACCAAATTTAACACCAGTTTCAAAATTTTATTTTGCGCATTCGCAGTGCCAACTTGCTTATTTATGAAGGCATTCAAATGAAATTTGATACATAGCCACTTGGAATGAAAGCAAATGTAGCGCCATTTTCCAAATTTGGTATTGTGTAGGATGTGCAGTGCGAACTTTCTTATTTATGGAAGCAATTAAATGAAATTTCATACATACATATATACTTAAAATAAAAGCAAAACTAACATCAGGTTTAAAATTTGGTTTTGCACATGCTATAGCCATACCCAGGAGCTCGTTTGCTATATTTGTTTAATTTATTACAATAAGTAGCCACGTCTTTTTTCAGATGGAAGACAGTACTATTAATCAAAGGGAATCAGGTGATTTAGGTGGTGACATATTTCAAGAGTTTCAAAAAGAATATAATGTTGTCATCCGTTTATACCTCAAAAATTTGCTACAGTTTTGTGGTTTTGATTAGTCCCATTAGTCCGTGGGTTGCGCCTCAGGTTGCGTTGCAAGTGAATAAATTTCAACGTATTAACTGATATCGTTGTAGTTGACACGAATTTGTTTAGATACAGCAATCTTGACAACTATTACATAATCAGTTTCACATTTAGAAGTTTACTGAAATTACAGAAATTACCGTTTGTAATTCTGGAATTACAAACATTACGCAATGCATATCAATAATTACAGAAAAACTACTATTACAATTCGAAAATTCCAAAAATTACTTAATACAAGCCGAAAATTACAAAAATTACGTAGTGTAATCACAAAATTACAAAAATTACCTGAAATTATATGAGTAATTTAATGTAATTACATTAGGTGTACGTTTTATTTGCTTGTGGCACACCCCTCGGATATAATGCTTGCTAAACGTACTTTAATACATAAACGCGCTGCAGGAATTTTCGTATTATTGAGAGGTATTTTTTTGGCTTGGACCAGTGTCATTCAACTAGCTTCGTTATGTATAGTTTTTTTTTTAATTTACAAAGTTATATTTCCATCTGCTAAAAATTCTATTAAACATGAAAAAGCGTTTTTGTTAATATGCAAGAATTGACATAACATTGTACGGACCCGATATTTTTCTTGCTACCAACTGTTGACCCAACTGTTTTTGCTGCTTTTCAAATTTTTTCCACTCAAAAGAAGATAATAAACAGAGTTTGCCATGGAAAACAATATCTAGTGAGATATGCAATAGTGTAACCGTGGCACATTTGACATATTTAAAAATCAACTTCCAAAATTCACTATGAAAGTGACATTCATAATCACATTTATTACACTCATGGTATAATAAAAAATAAAAATATAAATTGTAATTTTTGAAGGCCTTAATTCTCTCCTGGCGAGAATAGTATTTAAAAGAAGACTTACTTAACACCAGATTACACAAACTTATTCTACCACAGTGTATTTTACATTACAGGTCCCGCCAATTGATTACTTACGCCAGGTAACCCTAGATTTAGGAGGGGCTACAACTACAACTGCGGAAAGTCTACCCGGAAACTCGTCTACAAGATCATCCGTGGCAACATTAATAAAACGTTTCAACGAGGTATGTACCTACCATGTTTTGTCGAATAATTGCGGTGTTTGCCAGGCCCAGAAACGAACATTTCTTTTTCATACGCCTTTTTTGTGCAATGATTGTAGGACGTCGTCGTTTTCCTGATCATTCTGAAGGTAATTTATTAAGCGTTGTAACATTAATAGTGCAATTGGGTCCCGTGCAAAATAAAGAAACAACCGTTTTTGGAATGTCAGTAGAACTCTCTGGATGCTATGTGGTATTTAAAACTAAAAAATCAAAAATTCAAAAAATAGACAAGCAATCGATTCAAAGGGTTCTTTCGTTCGGCCCTGAAGAAATAAGAATTAAATTTTATTTTCAAATTGACGAACAGCATCAGTTCCTATGATATATTGCAAAACTGTTTTTTTTCATTAGCGCCGATTGTAATTTTGGATTTGTTGCTAAATACGGTGGGATATTCGTTTTAGGTATATCTTTGGTACTATTTTTGTTTACAGTGTTTGAATCAATTCCAGAAACATATTTTCTATGATTTCGTTATTGCCAATAACAAATTCCACAAACAAAGGGGAAAGTAAATACCATACCAAAAACGCTTAAACTACACTAAGACACAAACAGGCACAATAGTCCATGAGCCAATCAACATGACGGTATAATTTGGGGGTACTAATTTTCCTTTTTACGGTGGTTATACAGGTTTATTAGGATGCCAAAAAACCATGATTGCCATCTCAAAGCGGTAGCTAATAGAAATGGCGGTCAAACATAGATGGCGGATGTTTTTAAAATCAACTATATCTCTGGAATTGTTGATCCAATTTCATTATCCATTTTTGTAATGAAAGCTCTTTATATGTGCTATAAATATTGTTATAAGTACATTTTCGATAAAATCAACTGTTAATAAGTAATTTAAAAAAATGTCACCTAGCCTTCCACAATATCACCCATGTACACCGTAGAGAAAGAGTAAGATAAAATAGTTTGAAAATGATGAAATTACTATTGCAGTATGTTTTATGATCGCGTCCGTTATAAAAATCCGCAAAAGTGTATTAAAAATCCAAATTAAAATCGATTAAATCTAACAAAAATTTAAATAATCTTAAAATATGCCTATCATGTAAATGCAAAGATACGCATAAATAAATTCGGTTTAATCGCAACTGTTGCAAATCGAAGATACACAAAATCTCATACGAGTACAAGTACAACCAAAAATAAACGATATGCATTTTGCATATAAGTTTTCACAGCTTTTAGCTGATCAACAATTTAATTAAAATTAAAATAAGATAAGTGCATCCAAACATCAACAAGTAAAAAGGTTTTCGGCCTAAGGCGAGTAACTTCAGCGCATTTTCCATAAATTGATCAATACTTCCCCAAAGGCCATACCTATGTGCCCTATGTTTATCATTATATGGTTAAAATTTCAAAGAAATATCTCCATAAAGAAGAAAGTTGGCATGGCGCAGTCGGCGCATGCGCAGTTCAGTCGTCAAGATTCTCCTTGACTCAGGTGCCAGAGCGATACGCTACCGAATGCAAAAAGACCGAACTAAATATCTTGACAACTGTAGGTTAAGGCCTGGGACAGACGGACGGACAGAGAAAGTGGCTGCAATAGCGCACCCAACTTCGTTGGAAAATGCGCTAAAAATATGGTGGAAATATGCAAAAATATATACCCAAATGAAGTAATAATTTTGAAATTATTTATTTTTCTAACTCATACACTTCTCCTGACTAGCAAAACGAACGTTTGTCAATCCTCACCTTATCCCAAACACAGATGCCTCAACCCTATTTAATTAATTTCTTTCTTTCTACTTTTATTCACCCCCCCCCCCCCCCAGCACGGCGGCGCGAGCATGACCTGATACAAAAAAAAACTGACACTCAATATCTCAAGTTTGGGTTCGAAGAGAAACAAAAGAAATGTCAACTTCCTTCTCCAATTAAATAAAACTTCCTCTATTCTACACTAACCCTCAATGTTCCACCATCTATAATTGTCATCAAATAAAAACCTTCCTAACACAATTTTTAATTAGTTCAAAATTTTTTTTTTAATTAAATTCACACAGTAAAAACGGTAATTAAAAGTACTGACCTTTATTGTCTATTCCTCCGGGTTGCATGCCGAATCCCATCCTTATTTTCTTCAATGTCCAACACACATTTATTTAAAAAAAACTACAGTTCACCGTGCACGGCTATTATTTTATTTTTATCTTTCTTCTTTTCTTCCCGAAGCTCGTTCTTTTTCCACCTATTAAAAATCACACACACTCTCTCTCCTTCTTCCCGACGTCCTCTTCCTCTACGTTCTCAACTCCAATTCCCCATATCCAGTCCCATCGCAACTCCGGCATGCCTCCTAATCACTCAATCCCGACCACCTTTGTCCCCTTTGTTACTAGTACCTTCACCTTGATTGCTGTCTGCCCGACTTTTATCCTTGTAGAATGTTACTCAAACTTTATGCACAAATTTTCCAAATTAAATTACACATTTTTCTTGCTACTTACTTAATTTTTATTTTAACATTTATTTTATTTTTTTTTATAGGAACACATCACAACCAACCCAAACTCTCGATAGCACAAAAAAAATATGACCACCAAAAAAATCATTCCCACCCGTACGTACTTCCGAGGCGTTCCAAAAGCAAAAAAAAAAAAATGAAATTAAAATAACACGGCAATATGTATGATATGTGGAGAGATTTCACCCTTTAGTGAATTGCACTCTCCAAAATGGGCAATCTTATGTAGTTAAACAACGTTGCATTAGAAGAATGTTCAGTCTTACTAAACTAGGAGATATATCATTGTACCTACACTGTGAAATAGAAGTAAGTAAGAATTTGTAGGCTTCTTCTGATAGTGAAAGTTCAAACTCATAACAACAGTTCAGAAGCGTTTAAAACGAATTCGATATAAATATAAGAAGGAGAGCCGATCTATGGAACTATTACTTCAGGTTCTTCACCTTAACACTGATAAGAAACTTCGTGATATTACTATAGAAAAACGAAATAAAAAAAATCATTGTAGTTACGTCTACAGATATATTATAGCTAAAGAGGCATGTTAAGAACATATCAAATGATGATGTAATTGGTATGTGCGGAATATGTTTCTATAACTTCACTTCTCTACTTTAATTGAACTTGTATCTCGATTTGGACGACACTGGGTTCGTTGTAATTACAGATGTAAAATTGGCTCTTTAATGGTGGAAAAACTCCTGGGAAAACCTTAAAGAAAGGCTTCACATTAGCGAGGCCTACTCGATAAACACAGCACTTCGACTAACTTCTTCGTAAAACGTGAAACACGCTTCCGCTTAAACAAGAACTTTACAACTGACAAAACTGACTGCCTTGCAATAAATACGATCAAATACGGCTTTTAGCTATAAAGTAAGCAAAGAGTATGTTAATATTGATGGAAAGGTGTATATTGTGCCAGATAATTTGACATAGATTATGTGAAAACAAAAAATACATTGGAAAATTTGTACGTCAAAATCAAAGAGATGCTATTCCGGAAGCAGCAAATAAGATGAAAGATAACCTTAAGTTTGGCTTCCATATCACCTCACGTAGAATTACCAAGCTGCTCTTGTTCAAAATCGTGCCAACTGCCATTATGTAATGCTAAGAACTTAAAGTGTACAAGCGCATACAAGCTGCCAGGGGTTGATTTAGATTTCATTAAATCTTAAGAATTAAAAAAATTTCCGTTAGTTTACTTCATGCATTAATTAAATCGGTGATTTTATCGAAAAAGTAGTTATGACAATATTGTAGCCCACACAAAAGCTTTCATTTAAGAAAATAATGAAGTCGGAACCAATAAGATATAGTTGATTTTATAAAACTCAACATCCGCCATCTTGGATTGGCCGCCATTTCTATTAGCTACCACTTTGAGATGGCAATCATGGTTTTTTTTACACTCTAATATAATATGTGTCTAACCGTAGTAAAAAGAAAAATTGGTACCCCCAAATTATACCATTTCCTTAAATTTGGCCAGTTATATACTACAAAGCCCTTGAACAAAGAGACAGAATTACATACTCTACCAAGTGTCAACCAGAACACAGAATAACCAAGGGATTCAAATTCAACAATTCGCATTTCGGGAGGTCATAGTATAGAGGAAAGCCATATTTTTGAAATTTGAGGGTTTTTTTTACTTATAAACACCAATACAATGGTATACAAAAATCTCAATAGACGTATAATATGAATGAATCAAAAAACATCCAAACCAATTTAAATTAAGTTGAAAGAATCCCCCGAAAGCTTTAATAGGCTATTTACCTCTTTGCCACACGTGATGACGTGATTATAGCCACGTATGTTGCGAATAAAGGATTGACCCTTCGTTTCTTGTGTTAAATAGACTGAACAGTGAACTTCCTGCCGTGGATTTAAATTTTTTCTGCACGGAATGATCCACAGCTATGTATCTTTATCGCAAACTTTATCGAAATTGATTTTAATGAGAATATTTTTCTTTTCCATTTTCTAACTGAAAATCAAATTTGTATCTTGTTTCTAACCTCCTTAATAGTAGTGCATAAATACGCAGTCGTGGTAAAAGACATGTATATATTGTAAAACAAATTTAGATCCAAATTCCACCTCACTTAAATTTTCTCTATTCCTATGTTTTCTCTAAATTCTCATCAAATAAATTCTAAATCGTGGCCATGCTCTTCTCTAACTACTTTTATTTAAATAACTATGAACATTCAAAATACACATTGTAAGGCTAATAAATTTGAACCCACTTACAGGGAAATTCTCACTGACTAAAATAAATCGAAACTGAAATGAAAATTAACAACCGAATCCTTAATACTAGCATAGTTAATCTATGATACTAGGTTCCTAAGTAATAAGTTTTTTATAGAATATCCCAACTCAATTTACACAGATTGGTACATTTTTAAGACCTTTTTCTTTAATTATTAACGTCACAAAAAAATTTAGTGATTTAGTACTCAAATTTCTTTAAGAGGAACCAATTATTAATTTTGTACAAATTAAAAACGAAAATTTACAGTAGGTACCTCTTAAATATCGTTCCATGCAATTGATGATTTTCATATCATACAAATACAAAATCTGACAGACTCAAATTGTTCCAAGAAGTTATAACTTTTCAAAAGAGAACAGTTTTAATTCTTCACAAACCGCCACCTTAGGTTTATATTGATTTATCGGAAACGTTCATTCTCAATTAAGGTCAGGATTAAGGTTGATTTTGCCCTGTCACATTAATCCTTTCTACGTAATTTTATGCGAAACGTACAATGAGTTTATTCTTTGGCCGCCACTAACTAACTATTTTTTTGTTATCGTTTCTTGCGCACATTTATACTTATAATACTTCTTGAAACCGTTTTTTAAGGCACTCAACAACTTTGTTTTCGAGATATCTTTCTAGCGGAAATTAAAGAGGCACCTCTAAAAAAGCATTATGCGGGTCACTCTGTAATTGGGCGCAAGCCTGTTGAGGACCCAGAGAGAGATAATAAATTAAAAATTTAAAAAAATTAAATTAAATCATGCCGTAATCCTTTTATCCGCAGTATTTCACTATTTGTTCACTACTAATGTTATATATAATCCTCGCGCACGAAAAACAACGCTTATAACTTGCCCAAATAAAACATGCTTCCTGACCATGGTGTATAATTATTTACATTATACACCATGTTTCGGACTGACTCACGATTACCAGAAATACGGATTTCCACTTGAGTTCTAAATATAGTCCAAAACCGAATGCTCGAAGAAATTTTACTTCTTTGACAAAATACGTGACATTCTCGGGGCAAAAAATGAACAAATTGGTTATTGAGCTCTAATACAGGCCAAACCCCTATGTTTATCGCTTGATTACTCGCAATCAGCGCTACCCGACTCAAAACCGAATGCCCTAAAAATCTCTATTTATTAATCCCCTCACGGTTTCGTAATTCTAAATCAGTAGCTGTGATCACGTAGACCTCATTAACATAAGATAATTAAAATAAGATTATCTACGCTCCCATGTCCGACTGATCGGCTCCAAAAACTTCTACGGACTTTTAAAATCTGGATTTATTACAATTTTAGAATGATCAACCTTATAATAGGGACACCCTGTACATTCATTATACCCAATACATACAAATTGCGTAACCCCAGCGAAGTTCAACTTTACCTTCTTCAACTTCATATAAAAGGCTACCGTTACACTATTTAAGCTGTACCTATTATTAAATTGAGAGTAGACTACTAACCTGAAATGCGAATAAATAAACGACCTTATGTATCCCCTTAGAATTGCTGGTTCCGTTAGGGGAATCTGTAAACTGAGAACAACCTTTTGATGTTCTTAACAGATTTCAATTAAGAGGTATGTTTCCGAAGTTTTTCATTTCTACTTTAAACAGAGTGGATGTGATTTCCAATACTACTCGAGTCTTTTGTTGGCGACTTCTAATTTCGATGTGTTTACAGCGTGTGTTTTAATTATCGGAGCAATTACGCCAATGACTCTTATTTCGATTAAATTACTCACGCCAACATAACAGGAGTAGAGTTTAAGCTTTGGAAATAAACTAAATCCGTTTATACGCTGTAATTGGATCTTATAAATTCAAATTGAAATATTAATTTCACAGTCCGATAGGCTTACTTTCCTCTGTTTTTCAACATAAGCATTTATTAAAGTTTTCCATTGATTTGCTTCAGCAGAAATTGTTTCGCTGAATTAAAGGTTATATATAAGGCGTCCAGAAAGTATAAGTTCCTTTTGTATATCGCGCCCTTGTAGTGCCCCGATTGCAGCTCCGCTCAAGCGCGACAATAGCCTTGTATCTTTACGAAGCTATTGACGCCATTTTGAGCGAACTATTTGTTTTCATGTCACAGTGCTTTTAATAATAATAATCACACTAGCACAAAAATCAGTTATCCTCAAAACATGTAATATAGTGCGATCTTTTCTACACTGGCAATAAGAATAACAATAGGTATCAGTGGTACTTGGTGTTCAAACCCGTCCATTGATGTAACTCCACAAAAGTGAGAAATTAAAAATAATAATAATAATAATAATAATGTCTTTATTCAACAAGCTATATAAAAAAATTGTATACACAACATACAAAACAATAAAATTAAAAAAAAAAAAACTCATATGCTTGTTGAACCTCAAGGCGAAGTTCAGGTTGATCACAAGTAACCTCCTGCTCTTCCACTTAACCTTGTTTCAGTATTTTTTTTATTAGATCACCACTTCTAACTAAATCTACCAATTTACTTTTTCCCTAAATACATCAAGGATTGGAATGCTCTCCTTAGTTTGTGTTGCATTTTTCTGTCTCAGTACTAGAACCAACTATCGTACCAAATGTTTGAATAATAGTCTCTTGAATGTCTTGTGATCCAAGGTGCTACATTTTAGAACAGATGGAACAGAATTATATACCTACATATGCGACGTAATAAACAAATGACCGGCGAAAAGATGATAGAGAATGACGAGGTATCGACAATAAACCGCGGTGCCTTAAATTTAAATGATGTACATCTGTTCTAAATTGAATTAGGCCATATAGGTAAGGTGGAGATTGCGTAATAATTATTTTCCGAAAAAAGCATGCCGCGTGCAACAGCCGTCGATCGCTCATTTTCAACCAACTCACATCTTTCAACTTATGTGAAATATGCTCTCGCTTTTTGATACCGAAGATAAGCCGTAAACATGAATTTTGTACTTTCTGGATTCGCTTAATATCCACACTATCAATACAAGGACCATAAGCAGTATCACAGTATGTGAAATAAGAAAGTACCAAAGAATTACAGAGCATCGCCCTTGTTTTTTGCCCTAATATTTGCCGATTACTGTAAATAATTTTTAAGTTGTAATAAGCCTTTCTAATGCACTCATTAATATGCTGTTTAAATTTTAGGTTAGTATCTAGTTTAAGACCTAAGTTACGCGACACGTCTGAGCACTGTAAGGTCGCATTTATTAACCTTTTCGCTTGCATCTTTCCCACTAGAAGCATCGAAAACGTATGAAATTTGCATGTCATCTGCAAACAGGTGACATTGGCAAAATTTTAATGACCGGTGAAAACTAGATGTGTAAATTATGAATAAGATTGGACCCAATATAGAACCCAATGGCGAAAACCCCACTGATTTTGCGATTAGATCACTGATTCGGTTTGTCAATGATGCGATACGCTTAGAGAACTGCGTCGTGCAATTCACAGTAAGCACCCTGGTAAGCACCGTGGAATTCTCACTGGTGGTATTTTGTTGATTCATGACATTGCTCGCCCATACGCTGCAAAAATGACACTGCAACTGTTGACTCAATTCGGATGGAAATAGTCCGAACCTTGTTCGTAGTGACTTCTTTCTTCTTTAAAGCTTCGCTAGCAATATGCTCAATGACGACGATGATATTAAAGCACATGTTACAACTTCTAAAGTCACAGGCAGCAACGTTTTGTGAGAACGGAATAGTTGCAAAAATGAGTACCGCGGTACGTTAAATGCCTACAAATGGTGTTAGCTATGTTAAAATAATTTTAAGTCTACAAACTCTTGGAAACTCATTGTTTATAACATGGTAATCAACGGATAGATAACGTGGTATTCCTTATAAATATTCCCGTCTCTGGGATTGTCTTTTCACAAAAAGTATTAGTGTACACACAAGAGTTAAGTTCATACAGCAAGCGCATTGTAACCTGTACAGGGTGGCTCAAATTCGTGGCTCACCATTGGGACATCGTCCGTAACGGAGAGAGATAATACAGTGTAGGTTAAATAGGGGCAAAGTTGACCCTTTTTGGGACTAAAAAAACATATTTGAAATTTTTGAAAAATCTTTGAATATAACTGAGATATCACCGAAAACCTGAAAATTTTGTTTTCATTTTCCCTAACTTAAACGGTCGGAATAATGGACGGTTCCCGCACCGTCTATGAACACTTTTTCCGAAGAGTATGAACCTGTTATCAGAAGTTCCATAACGCGCTAGATGTAGAAGCTTCAAGCTACTACTTTTTTTATTTCTTATGGACAATCTCTTTTTTACACCAGTGTTTGCCGGGTAACAGAAATGTAACCACTATCTTTTGCATTCCATAGTGATGGTGCAACTGCTTGATTAACGATCATTCTTTTGCCAGCATGGAAAACTATTTGGTTGCTAAAATGCGTTCTTTTTTTATAGGTTAGTGCTTGGATTACTCAGCTGATCATCTCACAACCTACACATGATGCCAGAAGAGCGGTGCTTTCATGCGTGTTGCGAGTGGCCCTTTCAAGTTGGAATATCGGAAATTTTAATGGGGCGATGGAGATCATCGCCGGTCTCAAGTGAGTTCCTCCAATATAAATCACTTTAGTGTTTCTAAATATTCCAAATACTTTTTTATTTACTATATTGGCGAAGAGTAAACTAAAGTTCTTGAACCAATCTTTTACTATTAACTGAACCATTGAATTTATGACTATTTGACTGATCAACAATAATCACGAACTAATTATATAACTATCATATAGTGAATTTGCACAAGATAGTCCATTACCTAACTGAAACAGGCTATGTTTGAGACAATATGAACATACCGATTACCATAGGTACAGATTAATTATGACGAACGTTAAAACACGGTAAAAATTAAGAAATGCACACTATGAGAGTATAATTTCATAACTATGCCATATGCAATGAAGTCTGCTGTGGAATTATTTATGCTGTAAACTTCTTTGCCATAATCATAAACTCAATCCGCAGAAAATTTCCTTAGCGGAGTAGACCGCCCTACACTTTACCACGTATTCACCAAGCTCGAAAGCGCTTGTATAACTTCTGAAACTATTACACTGTAATTCTGAAACTTTAAGTGTACTGTTTATCATGTTTTAACCGAAACCAAAGGTTACTTCTTGAGCGCGTTTAATTTAATTACACACGAGTCACGACATTAAGCGCCACAGCAATTCGTAATATGTGTTATAACTGACTTACCGTAATGCGTATTAAATTACTAGATGCTAACGTATAAGAAGAGTGCTTGAGAATAAAGAAACAACTGGACCACTGGACGAAGAAATAAAGTGATGTTATAGTAGGGGTTTCTTTCGGCCTCCAGCGGAGTAGAGGATGTTGTAGGCCGGCGGAAACTACTTGCTATCGCATTACATCTCCACGAATGTATCTACTGTGAAATTGTGTACATCAGTAAACCCATTTAGCTGATTTAGGAAAACTATGTGTCAAATTGTTAATTTTATAATTTCCGGTTTATAGTCACCTTGGCCTTCTAGACAGATTCACAATATGCTTACTTTATTACTGTTGCGTTTTATATTCTAAGCTTAAACTAGGTCACATACCGTAATCAATTTGAACAACGTACAGCGGGCGTGGTGTAATAAGTACTGCTAGGTAAACTTATTACAACAGCGTTAATTGTTAACTTTCTTTTTAAACAACGTTTGTGCATTTGCCCCAACACGTTTGTTCAAACAACCTATTGTACTGTTCGGTCGTGTAGTATAATCATGTGCTAATTATATAGTGTGCACTTTAGTTGCTATCCAATCACACCCAGAGAATCCACACCAATTTCAATAGTGGGATTGGAAGTAAACATTTCCCGTGTATGCGTTAATCACACAACGGGTGTCTCATCATTAATGTAATTTTAGTACATCAATCGTAAAATTTGCTACCTACCAGAAATATTTCAAATGAAAGATTCATGTAGATAATCGTTACTCAGAGATCTGTACTTATTGTAATTATTTTTTACTTTGTAATCATAAGTAGTACATTTATCGTATTTTATAGAAACGTCGCAACATTGTAGATATGTCTTAAAAAGTGACACTTTGGTTTCTGACAATACAATACCCTATTTTCCCCACGTAGAAAAATGAGTCTTAAAAAACGGTTTACTCCTTCATTAATACTTCACAGTACCTTTGCAATTCTAAGCAAAAAATATTGATGTGTTAATTTTATTCGAGGTTCCTATTTACTTACTCATTATTACTGTACAGAACGGACCTCCAATTAAAAATCGAACGTTATCATTTTCACTGTAAATCCTCTTCTAAATTCAATATTTCAACCTACTGAACATTCTGTAAAAATTTGGTTTCGTCAGAAAGGTACGTGATCACGATCATATAACTAGACTGTATGGTAGGTCATCTCATCGTGATTGTAGTTTAAATTAAATTTGAATTATACGGTCATGTTTATTACTTACATTATTACCATGTACAATGATATACATAGTTCAACAGCCACCGCCTCTGTTTTTTTCAGTGATTAATAACAGGCTAAATCTTCGTGACTAGGTTGGGTTCGACAAGACGGACAGTTGCTCCTCTGCGAAAATTTTGCTAGCTTCTAGTAGTTACTGGCCTGCGCAGGCGCAACTTACAAGCATGGGACTGGGAAAACGTACCACTAAATTTGTAGGACTTAAATATATTTAGGAGACAGTAGTGGACAAAGACGTAAAAAAATGCATAGCTGATGTACACTAAATAGCGTAAAATTTATTGTTACACTATTGTCCGAGATAAACAGATCTGGGGATACTATTCGCACTATCATGGTTTACACACAACATTTCTTCAAAAGAGTGTACCACGAAACAGTCGCCTGAATTACTCAAACGCGAATTAAATTGTGATCACTACTTTGACCAAAAAATTAAAAAAGTTCCATCTGGCCACTTCTATAGCTTAAACGCGAATTACCTCCAGAACTTCCTCCACTAATTGACATTTAGTTTACACCTCTTTTTACGTCACGTGTACTGCCATGTTCTTTAATGTGCCAATTGGAATTATTCTCATCGTTAAACCTTGACAAAAAGAGGTTGTCCTAATGACTTGAAATTTGGCTTATTCAGCTATCAAGGGTCAGAAAATGACATTATGCTGCCGATGCCGTAATAAATGAAACGAAATACACCTAATAAAAACGTTTGAACCTGAGATAAACTTTCAATATTGCGTCACCAGAACATCCTGAAGCCATTAAAAAACAAAGGGCTACTGAAATTGAAACGATACATAAATGACCGACTTTATTTCCAACACGGTTTAAAATTTTATTACTGAAATTCCACTACACGTGACATTTCCCGGACAAATTAGCTATTTAAATTTCGCGCCCCACAAATTCCAATATTCAAAACTCAAACTGATGTACTCTTAAACTGAAAATATCCAACATTTACAGCTTGCTATCCAGAAAATTAAAAAAATTGAAATCCAAAATTACTACTACTGTTGCAACTTGGCAATAGATCATGGCGGAGTTATAGTAAGCGAATCATCGTCAATAGCGGCATCTAATTGCGATCTCTCATATAAACTCTTTACTATCTTCGTCAATTATTAATTAATTATTATTTATTAAGAGGGCTCACGTTAGTACCTATAATGACAAATTGTAGGATAAATTATAGTATGAAGACTATTAAAATAAATTTAATTTAATTCCGCTGATCTCTGCGCTAATGTAATCCGTCTGCCTGTCAATCTGGGGGTCTTAAATCTCAGTACCGAGACTACGAAACTAATTTTTAAGTGTTAATAGGTAATAAAGCCTAACAACCAACCTGGAAATGTGATAATGGCACTCAATGTGACACCATCTCTTCGTACATTGTTTATAACAAGAATGTTCAATAATCTGAAACCCAAAGTTCATGCAACGCGTGTTCACTGTAATGAACGAAAAATAAAATGAGAGATTTTTTCAAATAGAAAGTAACCAAGGTGTTAGTGCAGCTCTGGATTAGAAACGTAGATTTATAAATTGGAGCTTAAAAAAGGTGTTATGGCCATAACCAATTTGTTTTGGATGTAATAAATTCGAGAATAATGTATGAACTTGAAGGTAATGAACTTGTGTACAAATACGCATGAAATCTTAACTGTTTATCGTCTTACAAAGGCTTATTAATATACTATACATGGTATGGTGGTGCTTTCCTCTCACCACACTATACCGTACCCGCAACTGGAATGGAGTAATGAAAGAGCGAATTGGTCACCAGAATGGCATCTAAATTGTATTCCGAAACAATTGTCGATTTTGTTTGTGTGGTCATGTCAGTCGTAGGAGGATCAGGCGTATGCAGTATCGTATGGTGGTATGGTACCAGATCACCCTTGGTATTCATTGACAGCAACTTGAACATAGCCAGATACATCGCCAATTTGCGGAAGAACCATATCTTCTGGGGTTGGAAAATGCAATTTACCAACAGGTTATGCCCGCCCTCAAACAACAAGAAGTCCGACATAATTTTACCAAGAAGCTAACATTGGCGTTTGTCAATGCTCTCGCGGTCGCCAAATTTGTCCCCTATTGAACATGGATATCAATCGCAATCGCTTGTCATACGTGTCATACAAAAGGGGAGTTTATTTACTGTAACCAGTACACAATACATTATTATATCGGACACGTCGCTCTCACCAAGGGATTAACCTACTTAGCAAGGTATCGGTCAATCCATACGGTCTGAATATGTTACACAGTAATCATCAGTTTATTTTGTGATATGTTGAGAAAAGCAAAGGACCCCGATTTTTCGTAGCTGCATTATTCTATAATATGTTCCACCATGCTGGGTCTAAACTAGCTACAGGCGATCCACGTTAAACTGAAGCACTATTAATACGAATGCACGTTGAGCGGTCAATTCAAATATACGGCTGCGCGCTAGTGCTTTAGCTTAACGCGACACCGACACGCCTGTACCTATACTTCATAACACGTCTAAATGTGAAATTTTTTGAGCGGAAAGTTTCCAGTTTTCTTACTTTCTATCAAAACCGCCAACGAAAATGTTGGTTGTAATTTTTGTTGTAAAACATTTTTGGTACATTTCTTTCATGGCGTAGTGAACTGAGCACTATTTCGTTCCATTTATTTTCAGATCAAATAAACTTAAACCATTTTGGCTTTCAATTACGGAGAAGGAAACGTTACCAATCTTGGACTTCCTTTCGGCGGCGTTGTTATCGGCAGAATACGACAGAGCGCTGAGTCGCGCGCTGTCAATGGCAGAATGTCCGGTGGTTCCATTCTTTGGTGCTTTTTTACGAGAGCTTCGAGAAATTTTAGCCGCCCAACCCACTATACACGATCACAACGTAAAAGAAATTCCACCACTGAGTAAATCGCCCAAGTTTGATATACGTCGAGATCGGGACCAAAATCAGCAAAGACAAGTGGTAGGTGAGAGTATATTTTTTGCTAATTTTGTTATCACTCCAATTTTTTTCTTACCTAATTTTTGCTTAAGTTTATATCAGATTACAATGGGGAGGATCACCATTTCACCAAAGTTGGACCTGGAGGATTGATTAATTTAGAAAAGATCTATAAAACGCAGGCCGTAATGGACCATATATCTTTGTGTCACCAACATTTTCATTCCCGTAATCGTTTTTCGTCCACGACCACTATTCTAGATTACCTTAAGTAAGTACCAGATCTACCTTTATTTGCACAGTTTCTTGGTATAAATAATTTTGTGTTGTTTTAGAACCACTACCACTGATAGGCAGCGTATTGTTGCAGCTACTGCCCCTGAAAAGAATGAGCTGGATGCAGAATACGAATTTGAAGTCGACGGCTACCATCCCGTGCAACCTTTAGTGCACGATCACGGCGTAAGCTTTGTTTGTCTATCATCTCCGTTAACGAAGATAGATCAACACGTAATGCAGGTATCATATCCGATTCTAATTTGTATAATAGTACTTTTGAATTTTACGCAGATTTTGCATCATGGAAGTACAGTAGTGCTGTGGGAAAGTCCGGAAGGCCCAACAGCACCTGGTAGTCCGCGGGGAATTTTACAATACCTAAGACTGGATCGATCGTCAACGACGTTAACGTGGGTCAGGCCAAGCTGGAGTGGACTTAAAACGGGGTATACTAATGAGACGGATCCATTTTCTACAGATTTCAATTTATCTTTCAATCCAGAAGAAACCTTAGCACCGGGGTTATTGTCAAAGTTAGCGTTGCAGGCGGCGGGCGAACAATCTACCGGCAGTACATTGGATGACGGGTATGTGTATTGATGTGTTCAACAAATGAAAATGATTTGGAATTTAGACTAAACAGTAAACTATATAAACACTTAACGGTTTCATTTGTAATTTATGATCTTTATTTCCTTTTGTTGACTTTCATGTGAAGGCTGTCTGGAAGGTCAGTAGGTTGCTTGCGTAGAAAAAGATTAGCGATACTTTATATAGCTTTGTTTTGCTACCACTGCTTATAGCAACATCAGCTCTTGTTAACTGAAAAAAATAAAAATGGTTTAGGGAAATCGGTTTGGTACAATATACTTTATGTTTTTTAACACCAATTGGCAAATGTTGGTTCTTGCATCATCACGTGTTTTTGCACTCATGTAAACAAGCTCTAGTTAACGCATGAATTTTGTTTTTTTAAGTCGCGTTAAGTAGGACTCGAGAGCTTAAAAACGTATTGATTACAAGAAGTGTAAAGTAGATGGCTAACACCACCGTTAATACTTTTTGTGGTATTCCCTTTTGGTTGTTCTGTAATCTATTATGGGTTTCAATTATGACGCGTTTTGTTTCATCATTTACGTTTCAGTTTACTAATCACTAATTTAATTAGTTAAAGATTACGCATCCTCATACCGTTCAGTATGAAAAAGACTTCCAAGGTTCTAATTGATCACACCTAATGATGACCAGTCACATAACTGCTTATTTATTTTATGCCCAAAATGTTCCCGTACCTTAACTCAGAACTTCAACATAATTCCCTTATCTTTCACTTCCCCCACTGGAAAATTTCGTGCATTTTCCAATGTCAGTCGCCATAATTTGTGTCCTACACAATAATATATAAAGATAATTTTGGTCATAACATCGCTATTCATTATTATCATTGTCATACAAAGATATCGATAAAGATTGATTTTCAAACGTCTCCCATAAATGAAATCGCAACATAGCCACTCATAAAAATTACATGTTTCGACGACTGCGAGATATTTCATTCAAGAAATTTACCACAACACAGGAAATGCGATTAATATAGGGAGCTAAAACTAGAACAATCATGTATTTCTAAAAATTGGCCCGCCCAGTAGGTAGGTATTTATTTTTTGTGGTAACGTCCCCCGTTAAGTTAACATACAAATCGGCTTCCTCTGCCAGTCTGCCCTGTGTATTCCCCCGATCAATTTCGAAACACAATTGTATGTACCTACTGTCACCGGCACGTAAAGGCGCGTATTCACTTGCAACAAAATGCCCCGAACCAACCAAACGCGCTGTAACAAATTTATCTAGTCAGTACGCTGACCCAAACAGAACAGAATGCGCCAAACATTTTTCAAGTTTGAAAGGAACATAGCGAATACCGCACTTTCCAAATAGTTTGCGGTATTTTCTGCGTTCCCATCAAAATTGGAAAAGTTTGGCGCATTCTATTCTGTTTGTGTCAACGTACTGACGACAAATTTGTTACAACGCGCACGGCACGTTTGGTTCGTTGGAAACATTTTGTTGCAAATGATTGAGTACCTAACGAGCGAAGAGCCCGAATTATCACAGAAAAATGTATGTTGGAATATATTCAGCGAGCGCGGCGCGTTTGGTTCGTTCGGGGTATTTTGTTGCAAGTGAATACGCACCTTAAAGGTTGATTCTCACTATACATAACGTTTCCATACCATATCCATTCCATAACCATTCCGTAAATTATTATAGGCTACGAAATTGACCTTTAAGTGATATGTGCGTAAGACATTCAGTCGCGCGCAAATACACATTCGCCTTCCATATGTGAACGGAAAGGAGAATGTGTATTAGCGCGCGGCTAAATGTCTTACGCACATATCACTTAAAGGTCAATTTCATAGGTATAATAATTTACGGAATGATTATGGAAAGGGTATGGTATGGAAACGTTATGTATAGTGAGAATCACAGCGGGCTATGCGCAGATGACTTATTTAGAGCCTGCAGGAGGAGCCAACTGGCTCCGTGGCGCGCTAATAGGTTCCATTAATAGAATATGAATAAACGGATGGGTGATTTTTCGCCTCCTTAAGGCGGATCCACATTGATAAATGCGAGTATTTGCGTTGGGTCTTGAATTTGACACAAATTTGCTCGTGTGCGCCGACATTTTTGTCTATGTGGACTGTGCGCCGCACGAAAACGAACACAAGTAATTTCATGACGAACAACGCACGCTGTCCACTATGCTATCGGTTTTCCAGTCAACTTCAAAGGAATTTGCGCCGCACAAAGTTCCAATATGCATGTGAATGTGCACACGTGGATTCAGCAAATACAACACACAACATAAATATTTACGTAGTAAATACGTGACCATATTCAAATTTGTGGGGCAAGCGGATCCACATTGGTAAATATTTGCGTTGTGTGTTGAATTTTGAATTTTTGCAAAAGTATTTGCCCCACAAATTTGAATATGGTCACGTATTTACTACGTAAATATTTATTATTTATTATTATTTTTTTTTTTTATTACAACTGTACAATATATACAAAATTACGAAACTATATGATCATCAGCACTTTTGACCTTTTAACAAAAAGAATAAAAATAAACAAGTCACAACCTTCTCCATTCAACTCTCTAGCTTAATCTGTGGTTTACTGAACTTGTCCATGTAACATATCACCTCATTTATACACCAGTGATCTACAAACACTTCACATGTATTTTTTCCCAAATGCCACGAATAGTTGTGTAAGATGATAGTTTTTAAAGCGATAATGAAGGCATTCCTAAGATTTGGTGTTACTCGGTTTGATTTCATTTGACTTATGGCATTACGGTAAATGTAGAATTTTGCGTAACTAATTAAAAAATTGGATAAAATAACATGATTTGTGTTGCCCTGTTAGTAGTCCACAAATTACCCAATTCTGAGGAGTCGGTAGAGAACGGTTCGGATCAATTTTTTTAATTACCGACTGCACTAGCTCCCAAATAGTGATTACTTGCGGGCAATTAATAATTGTGTGTCATGTTTCTGCATTTATAGTACGGCAATATAGTCCAAGAGCCCAGTAGGAAAGTATACCTTGAACGCCCGGACGTTTCTAATAATTTTCATAGGATTCACCATAAAAAGTTGCATTAGAATCGACAACGGTGCCGGCGAAAATCCTGCCGAAAGCAGTTAAAAAAAAATTAAATTCGCCCCTTATTTTTGAAAAATGTACTTTATTATCCCGGACGTTCAGGAAGAGTACTGAAGGGCGCATATGGATGAGTTTTATCGAAAAAAGTCACGGTGCCGGGGCGCAAATTGCCGCAACCCTTGGCACCGCGACTAAAAAGGGGGTGGTAAATCGTACTAAACTACCTTTTTCTCCCGGACTAAAATGACCTATATGAAAAATGTAGCTTGTGATTATACGAATATAAAAAACCAACGGTGCCGACTCTCAGGATGCCGGAAGTCCTCGGCACCGTCGATGGAATCCGGGCGCGCGCGAGCCTATTGACACTGCACCAATAAAAGATGGGGTAAATTGTAACAATCCAGCTTGTCATTTCGCACCAAAAAGTCCTTAATGAAAAATGTAGCTTAAGAGTAGACATATTATAAGAAATCCGGGGGCAGGCAAGAGCCTTCTTTTCGTATCCGATCACTTCTGTGACTGCAAGAAAAACGATTTAAGTCCATTTTCTCAAACTTTACCACTTTTTTGTTAAAAAAAAAACAAAAAAAGAACCGACAAAATCGTTTTTAATTCTTAAACATTAATTTTTTTAAAAGTAAAACACTTGACTTGTGTGGTTATGCCTAAACCCAAAAAAGGTAGAAATGATCGAAGTTGGCTCGCAATGATTCTTATGCCAAAAATGCTTTTTTGAAATCATTTTATTGTAATTCAATCAGAATCAGAATCGACGCTCAAAGGAGTAGAATCGCCCTCGAACTAAAAGAGTTCTAAAATATCTTTCATTTACCAGCCTCATTTCGTAGGATCGAGCGTGACACATTGTTTTTCTGCCGCATTTTTCCATATAGCAGTAACAAAAATCGTTCGGAGAATCTTTTGTTTTAATGATTTGAAACAAGGCGAAATCGTACACGAATCAAATCCTATGATTTTCTTGACGAGTTTCTCAGAATCTTTTCTCGTCGCGAAAATTTTGTGGAATATATTTGATCTCGCGGTATCCACGGTGTTACATTTTTTCACCGATAGGTAAGTGACGTGCATTCTTGCAATTTTTCAATTTTCGCACTGTCAATAGGCTCGCGCGCGCTCGGATTCCATCGACGGTGCCGAGGACTTCCGGCATCCTGAGAGTCGGCACCGTTGGTTTTTTATATTCGTATAATCGCAAGCTACATATTTCATATACATAGGTCATTTTGGTCCGGGAGAAAAAGGTAGTTTAGTACGATTTACCACCCCATTTGTAGTGGCGGTGCCAAGGGTTGCGGCAAGTTGCGCCCCGGCACCGTGACTTTTTCCGATAAAACTCATCCCTATGCACCCTTTAGTACTCTTCCTGAACGTCCGGGACAATAAAGTAGATTTTCCAAAAGTAAGGGGCGAATTTAATTTTTTTTAACTGCTTTCGACAGGATTTTCGCCGGCACCGTTGTCGATTCTAATGCAACTTTTTATGGCGAATCCTATGAAAATTATTAGAATCGTCCGGGCGTTCAAGGTATACTTTCCTACTGGGCTCTTGGACTAATATTGGCAGTTATTGTTCGCGCGTAAGTTCGATCGAAACAGAAAACAGGGGTCTGCCAGGCGGTTCTTAGAGAATCTCCACGCTATATCCGCAACATAGCCTGGCGTGATCTTATTAAAAAACGCCTTCCAGTGAATCTTGAAATCAGCCCAAACATTCTCCAAGCCCTTGTGGGGATCACACTTAAAGAACAGTGAAGTAAGTAAATATATTTATGTTGTGTGTTGTATTTGCTGAATCCACGTGTGCACATTCACATGCACAAGTCCACATTAGAAGTTTGTGCGGCGCAAATTCCTTTGAAGTTGACTGGAAACCCGACAGCTG